AGTTTTCTGGTCTTTTCTCCATCTGGCTTGTAATTGTACATATTGAAACCACGTTTGAATTATTTTCTCCTCTTTCAACACATTCACAGATTTTAATTTTAATATACCTCCCTCCATAATGAGAATATCTTTATACGTAATTACATCCTGTCTGCATTCTATACTCGTATTCTCTATTGCGTGTCCATATAGGTATTTTTTCATTTAACTTATATTGATATTTCTTCCAGACACGCAATAAAGCATTTCTCAGTATATGACTCTTAAATGCTCTGTCCACCCTTTTTTCATACACTAAATAAGCATGCCAACCATAGACCAGATCATACCCTTCAATATTCAATATCCTCCATTTGTTAAATTAATCCAATCACTAATTGCTGATAAAACAGCTGCTTCATAGTACAATTTTAAATTTGGCATTTTCAGTCCTCCTCTTTCTCGTATGTCCTGCATTATTTTCAATTTTATCCTTGGTTTCTTACCTTGCCATACGAACTTATTAATACCTTTCTGCCACCCTTCCAGGTTGGCATCCTTTTTTAGTATTGGTATCATTTGAAAGAGGAACAAAAACCTAGGCAACACATTCATTTTTATAACTGCTATTCTACCCAACAAGGACAATTGTAGTTTTTTCCAATTATCCATTTCAACTTGTATTTTATGCCATATCAATTCATAATTATACTTATACAATTTACCATTAGAAGATGCAATATAAACTCCTAAATACTTGACTTTTTTAACTATTTCACATCCCATTACCCTTTGTAACTCCTCTTTTTGATTAGCTGTCATATTTTTAACTATCATCTTTGTTTTTCCAATGTTTATCTTAAACCCAGATACTTGACCATACTGTTTTATTATATCAATCAAAACCTTTGCTGATTCCACTGGATGAGTTAAGGTCATAACCAAATCATCTGCAAATGCCCGTATCTTATATTCATAATCTCTAACTTTGATTCCCTTTATCCCATCTGCATTACGTATTTTATTTAACAGCAACTCCAAAGTTAATATAAATAATAATGGCGATAAGGGACATCCCTGCCTCGTGCCTTTTTCAATTTTAAAAGTTTCTGTCAAACTGCCATTAATAATTATCTGAGCTGTCTGTTCCTGATATATTGCTTTTATGGACTGCATAAAGCAATTTTTGATTTGTTTTGTTACTTCTATAGTCTAATTTTGCATCAACAATTGTGTTAAAGTCTCTCACAATACAGATGTTATCATATTTTATTTCTGTAATATTTTTGTGTAATTGTTCATAGAAAGCTTCTTGGTTAGTATGTGGTGCATATATTACTGTTAATAATATCCATTTATAATTCATCATTACTTCCACTATCAAAATTCTTCCCTCTTCATCCTTATAAATTTGTTTTGATTCTATGGATTCTTTGATATAGAGAGCCACCCCTCTTTTTTTCTGCTGTGCCAATGAGGCATATAGCTTCCCCATTTTAGGATTTTCCAATATTTTATAGTGGTCCTTTTTTATATGTACTTCCTGGAGACAGATCAGATCTAAGTTCAATTTTTTTAGTTTATTGAAAAAGATTTTCCTTTTCATTGCCAAATTCAATCCGTTAACATTGACTGACATTAAAGTAGTTTGTTCTCCCATCTTTTTAATATAGATTGGTCTAGCAGTTCTAGTGGTTCTTATTTCTCTCTTTTTTTGCTCTAGCTGCTTCCTGTTCTGCTCTTTCTTTTTGCTCCCTTTCATTCCCTTTTAGCTGTAATGATTTCTCTTCAACCAATACTTCTTGGCTCTTATCAACTATTTTCTCTCTTAGCCTTCTCTTCCTCCATTCCAAAGTGTTGTTTATCAAATTCAACGGCCTTATCTATTGAATCTAACCTGTATCTTTCTTCATGCCAAGTCACCAATAGGCCTTCAGGTATCAGCCACCTAAAATGTACATCATATTTGATCAATTTTCTTGCCAGAAATTGGTATTCTCTTTTTATGTCTAGCACTTTTCTCAGTATCTATTTTAGAATTGTTATTTCTTTTTCTTTATAAACCATTGGCTTTCCTCTAGCTTTTTAAAGTATTTCCATCTGGTCATTTTTTTCAGGAACCAAATGTGTACTTTTCTGGGGAGTCTATTCCTCCTTACATAGCCTGTAAGGACCCAAAAGTCTTCATCCATCTCTGATAATGCCTCCTCCATGCTCACTTCCAAGACTTCAGCCAACAAGTCTGCCATTTTATCCGGGAGGTCTTCTCCCTTCTCTTCTTCTATATTTTGAAATCTTAGGAAGAATTCAGCTTTTTCCATCTCCAGGGATATTATAGAGGCCTCCAGGCTCTTGTCCACCTGAGTTAATCTCTGGTCCACTTCTACCACCTTTTTCTCGGTTTGTTCTGATTTTTCCTTTACTTTTTAAATTCTTTCTTCATACTTTATCATTATTTGTTGGATATTTTCCACTTTATCATCCATTTTTTGTATTCTTTCATATAATTTGGACATTAACTCCTGTATTGATTGGAACACTGCTTTTGTTTCCGCCTGCATTGTGTTTCTTTCCTGCACCAGAAAATTATCCAAGTCCAAGCTGGACTTGGGGCAGCAGATGGTGTTGCTGAGGAGGGAGTCGAAGTAGTTTTCTTCATCTTTCAATATTAACACATAGAATATACAATAACTTCAGAACACACATCCAATATTCCACTATTCTCTCCCAGTTGTCACCCAACTGCAATAAGCTTTTTGTAACACTCTCACTACTAGATTCCTCTATCCATCTTATTCCCACTTCTGTCCAAATAGTCTATAATATATCAGTTCAAGAGTACTTTTAAGTATATTTTTTCACCCTTTTCTTTTTTACAACAATATTGTGTAGAAATTATGTAGAAATAGAATATAAATATGAATACTAATTAGTTTCCTAAAGTCCACAGGGTCCAAAATATGTCTGTCACAAATTTTATAAGGCAAACCAAAATATCTCTCACAAGTCGTCTTTAATCCACTTAGGCCCACATATGTTCCCAGCAATCTTTCACAGAGTGTCCCAAGAGTTCTTGTATAACTATTTTAGTTTCTTCTTTTCTTCTCCTTCTACAATTGTAATATCAAAAATTAATTCCATCAATGTAATTTATAATCCAGCCTGATTTGGCAAGTCTTTATAGTTTCCCAACTTCTAAGTTTTAGAAGTCTTAAAGGGAAGCAGAGGAAGGGGGGGGGGGAGAGAAGTCCAAAGGTGTTTTATTCAAAATGTTTCCAATTGCAGCCTGCTTACTTATTATCTGCTAAAGCCAGAGAGCTGCTGATTTTGCACAGTCATAGCTCTTCCACTCTCTGCTCCAGCCCTCCAGACTAAAAAAGTTGCAGGTATCAGAAGATTGTTGTTTCATTTACTGTAATCATTTGCTATATGTAATCCATATCCTAAGGTCATGTCTATTCAGAAGTCCTTTCTCTCCTTAAACACTTTCTCTGCCAGCCGGTACCAGTAGATGGTGCATTTATTCTGTTTCCTCTATTTTAGTCCCGTCCTGTATTTTAAAGTTTTTCCTTTTTACAATCAAAGGGGACTACAAAGCTTCATCCCCCATAAAACCTTAGCTTCTTCTTTCTATCTCTTCCACATTTTTTTGTAACAAAATAGTAAACTTTTCTATGACTTCTTTATTAATGACTAAAAGCCTCTTCGCCACTAAGTTGGGAGGTGGAAAATTCTTTAGTCTCACTCTCAACTAAATTCAAATTGAGGGAGAGCAAAGTCTTTTCTTTTGAAGCAGAGGTCAGAAAAATCTCACCTAGAACAAACACACCGCTCGACAATCTTCTTCTTTTAACTTTCAGGTCTGGCTGCCGGGGCTTTTGACAGCTCATAATGGCCATCTATCACTCTTTGCCGGTCTAAGAGATTTTTCGCTGCTCCCACAGGGATTTGTGGACTCCCTGTGATTCGCAGTCTCCTCTCTTCTTCACAACCCCTACAGGGTGGCTAGGGTCTCTATGGGCAGGGGGATTTCAACGTTTTCCACAGAGCTCTGTGGAGTTCCATCGTATAGCCTTGGCTAGCTAGCCACACCCCTTTTTTTTCTCTACAACTTATTTCTGTTTACAGTTATCTTATGTCATATTGTTAGAGTTCAATATTGAAATGTATTAGATCATTTTCCACATTTTGTCTGCTATTTCAACTATTATCCTACACCAGATTTGCACTTACTATGAAATCTCACTATTATTCATAAAGTCTATCTTGAATTATGAGTAGAACAGCAGTTAATGAAATAAATACAGCACGCATTTTAACATTCTCTCATATTGGACCCTCCAGTATCACTGGCCTGCAGTGTTTGCACTAAAAATTTTAGGGTGACAACACTGTGACAGATAAACAGTGTGTGTATATGCATACATGCAAACGTGAAGGGAGAGAGAAGAAAGAGTGTGTCACTCTCAGTTAAGACACTATTACAAAGTCCACAAAGAACTGCATGCATTTTGTGTTTGAGATATTTTGTACTAGAAGAAATTACTCAGAAGTTAGATATTAATTCAAGTTTACCTGAACTATAAAAAGATCAGATTCTTATAAGGCAAGGGTGTCAAACTGGCGGGCTGTGGGTTGGATGTATCATAGGCAGGCCGCACCCATCCCAGTTCTGCGAAGGGGAAAAATGTCTCGATATGTCACAGGACACTAATGTGACGCAACGAGTTTGATACCTATTCTATAAGGGATCTGCAAATCACTCTTTTCAATATTATAATTTAAAAGGTTTGTTACTGAAAGGGGATACTCTTGTTATTACCCCTCCATGGGTTTTCAGCGATAACAGCTGCTTCAAAAAACATGTTTGAGGTTAACTACAGCATGTCCTCCACTCCCAGCTGTCTACTATGATGCATTCCTGCTGTGATAAACTACAATAAAGTTAGCACTGGAGTATAAAGATACTGGACAAGATGACTGCTCCAAAATTGTAAACATTAAAAATGGAAGTAACCTACTGTGATTTGAGTTCCTTGGTTTCCTGCACAAGGTTTTGGAACATTCTTCAGTTTTCCATCAGAGTAATTTGCCCTGATAGTAAAACAAAACAGAGTTATTCTCCAAGTTTCAAGAACAAATGGAAACCATACAACTTTCACTATTGTTACTTTCTAATCTTTAAGGCCAAAGAGCAGCAAAATTATCTCTTAGCAGGTTCATTACAAAAACAGAAAATGACTCCTTTATGAGCTAGTGTGAGTCACAAGCTCCTGGAGGAAAGCATAACAGATATAGCTATTTATCCTCAGATTAATTAAAATAATCATTTAAATGGGCTGGCAGGAAGCAGAATTCTTTAAAAGAAATTTGTATAATTGGCTCAGAGAATACAGATTAGCTATGGCTTGGACTACTTTAGAAAGTACCATAAAACTATTGTTACCAGTAGGCTTTACAAACAACAGCCTGAAAAGTTTAATCTAAATATTGCATGCTGCTCAAAGGAAATAAAACAGCTGAAAATAGTTGAAATGTTAAAGAATATTTTACTTTTTCAATCACTGCTAAACACTTCAATCACACTTTTCAGGACATGTGCAACTGCCATTTTTATTAATGCAATGTGCTCTTTCCAGGTCATATTTTTTTGTCCTCAGGTTGCTGTACTATGTACTGACAAATGCATAACAATGCAAAATGATGTGTTCTTAGCCAAGCACCCAGTACTATTTATTTATTTACTTATATAAAACATTGATATAGTTGCCTATCTTGGGAAGCCAACTCTGGGCAGCACCTTCCCAACTCTGGGAATTGCACCATGAAATTGGAAGCCAGTGCAGCTCACATAACAGATATGTTACCTGGGCCAACCTAGGAGTTCCCATTACTGTGCACACTGCTGCATTCTGGACCAGTAGAAGTTTGTGGGTGGTCTTCTAGGGCAATTCCATATACAGCATACTAAAGTAATCTATACTGGAGTTGACCAAGGAATGAATGACCATGAAAAAGGTCTCCTGGTGCAGAAAAGGACACAATTGGTGCACCAGGAAGAATCTGTGCAAAGGAATTGTAGATCCAGGATCTCCAAAATGCCACTAATGGCAGTCAGAGTCAAAGATAAAGAATTTGGGTGGGAGGTCCAGTCCCAAATATCTCATTTTGATAGTGACCAGATCTAGTATTAGTTTGTTTACTTTTGTCTACGTCAGCTGTATTGGAAGTTGGCTAGCATGTCATATTGTTGCTACGAACAATATGACATACTAGCCAACACATAGAGAAAATAACAAACTTCATTCCATCTATTTCTCTATGTACCAGCAATAATTGTAATTAGAAACCATTTAGGGAAAAAAAGGCTTTTTCCAAAGTCTTTCTTGGGCAAAGGCAAAGCAACTGAATAGGTGGGATATGAATCAGTAGATGGAGTTAACAGTTTCTTGGATTTTAAAGTCCAAGTCCAGGTATAGGTAGAGGTTGTTAGTCGCTGATAGAAATTTTTAATAAAATATATTGCTATTATGGTCACATACTCCTTTTACAGAGATTTAAAAAAACATATTCTTCCAATAATTGCTAGGTGTCCTGGCCATTCTGACACTGCTTATCTCCAGTGGCTGCTTAAAGACGAGCGGTCCAAAATTATAGCACAGGTAGTTAGATTCTGCGCAGCAGCACTGGGGATTCATCGGAAATACGTGTCTAATCCACCATATACAATGTGGCAAACCTGTTGCACTGCTTATTCCTTTCCCTTTTAGTATTAAACTGACTACAACCACAGTTTATGAATTGTAATTTTTGTATAGTTAGACAATGTATAATTGACAGAATGGATCTTATCATGGATTTTAGCTGTTATTTATTATTTTATACTAGAATTTTTAATTGTATATTTACTGAGTGCTTTTGTTTGTTCTGATCTCTGGTCTATGACTGTAATAAATTGAATTGAATATTGCTATTAGATTCCAAGTTGAACAGTTAATCGACTTCAGAAGAGCATATAAGCATGAAGCCAAATTCAAAAGCATGGCTTATTGTATCCTGTAACCCACAAGGAAATAGATCTCTACAACTGAGTTTCTATAGCAGTGAGAAACTATTGTTAAACCCTGAACTAGAAACATTCCTCTTCTGTCACAATGTAATTTTTGTCAGTTTTCAACTATTAACATTCTGTGCACACATTAGTTATGTTTGGAATCCTTTGTTTTACATTATTCTTTTTCTCAAGAGTCTCTTGGGTTTTCAATAATAGTATTGGTGCTGTTAATAAATTGTTTTATTCATTTTATTTAAATGCTAATATTCCTTAGTGCTTTAAAATCCGGCTCTTTCCCAAGCTTTAAGCTAGACTGTATGATTTGCCTCTTATTCAAAAACTGTATTTTTTTGCCCTCTCTGGATGCTCATCAATCTTTCCTTTGTCTATGTTGCTTTGAACTGTTTTTAATACTGTAAGCGGCCCAGAGTAACTATGGAGTCAGGCAGCTTTAGAACTTTGATAAATAAATTAATAGTCCAGAGTGATACAATTGACATATATGCAACATTTCCCTGGACTCCCCCTGCACTCCTCTAGATCTCTTTGAATTGTCTTCTATGTGCAGTAATCAGCTGAAGCAAAACCCTGGTCTGAGAGCCCAAGAACCGGCAGCTGCAGCTCTGAATGATGGAGGCAGAGCTGACAGAAGAAACAAGCTTCCCTGGCCTTTGTTGGCAGCTGGGCCTACTCATGTGGTCACTAATGCTGTGGCGTGTGGCAAGCTGCCATTGGGATTTTTTGAGCTTTAACTGGCGAGTGGGAGTTTGGAACTGTGTGAACTTCAGGACACATCATAGGACTATACCACTGCTACAATATTTAGTGCAGCATAGCAGGCCTTCTGGCTACTTCTCCGACTACTTTTTGCAATCTTCTGAATGTTCTGTAATCAAGCCTAGGAAGGCTGTTCGGGGAATTCTGGGACTGGAAGGGAAAGCTGAGTGAAAGGCAAGTGTGTTGGTCCCTCTACCCTGGGTGAGAGCTGGGGAAAGGTGGGGGCTCCCTGTTTGGGGGATGAGAGCGACTGGGCAGGGTGCTGTTTGTGCATTTGGTGGCTGTTTTATGAGTGTGTTGGGAGATAAGGGGGTGCTGCATGTGACCCCTCTGCAGCAATGAGGAAGGTGTGGTGTGAATTTGAGGGTGCTGAGAGCAAGTGCTATAGTGCCTGTACGGCTCACCTTGCCCCGACAGTTTGTCAATGGGACGAGGTTCCCTCTTTTTAAGGAAGAGTGTTAGTGATGGGGGATGGAATGGTTTTCAGGGAAGGCAGAAGAGAGCAGTCTATTTCAGTGATGTCAGGTAATGGGAGATACAGGAGGCAAGGGGGGGGCCAAGCACAAAGAATGTGACCTCGATGTTTAGTACCGATCTCGTGTTCTGCCCCTTTGCACTCACCTCATTTACCTGGTCACCAGATCTGTGGTGGCCTTGATTTTAGGCTGCTGCTTTTAAATGTCAGATCAGCCTGCAATAAGGCTAGCCTTATTGCAGATTTGATCCCTGAAGAGAAGGCCAATCTGGTTTGTATAACTGAGACCTGGCAGGGCCCAGGAAAGGGAGGTGTTCCCCTCTTAGAAATGTGCAGTGGGTTATCGAGCATGGCACGTCTAGACCAGAGAATCTCTAGCAGCCTCCAGGAGCACTGCTCCACAAGTGCCCGACTGCGAGACCCTTTTTCTTAGGTTGGGCTCAAGGGATCAGGTGGGATTGCTGCTGCTGCTGTACCAGCCTTCCTATTGCGTGGCAGCTTCCATATCTAGGCTATTGGGAATGGGGCTGGCAGTGGAGTTCCCCTGGCTTATAATTCTGGGGGACTTCAACCTGCCATCCCTGGGGGTAGGGTCAGAGGTAGCCCAAGATTTCATGGAAACCATGACTTCCTTGTGCCTGTCCCAGGTCATCCAGGGCCCAACTAGGAATAGGGGTCACACACCCGATTTGGTGTTCTTGTCAGAGCAGTGCCTATGTGACCTGGAATTGGTGAATTTGTCCTTGGTCTCTGTCATTGTCAGATCACAGTCTGGTAGCTATGAAAAGCAGGACCTATTAGTTTGGTCCCGCAGAAAAGCAGGACCTATTAGTTTGGTCTGTCGACTAATGGACCCTGATGGGTTCCAGAAGGAGCTGGGAGTTATAACTGCAGATCTGCTGCGCAGTCCAGCCAAGTTCTTAGTCACTGTTTGGAAAAGGAAGGTGACTGAGGCTCTGGATAGAATTGCACCCATACAACCTCTCCTCACTCATAGACCTCTCTGCCCTCCATGATATACAGAGGAACTGAGAGGGATGAAATGGATGAAGAGATGTCTAGAGCGCCGCTGACGGAAGACAAGGGACAAACTTAATTGAACACGGGTAAGAGCTGCTATTACGGCTTACCTTGTGGTGATTCGTGCAGCAAAGTGTAAATACTTGTCTGCACTAATTGCATCTGCAGATAATCACCCAGTGACCCTCTTTAAGGTGAGCCTCGTCCTCCTGGGGAAGGAGGAGATTGAGGTCCACCTGAAGGAGCACGCTGAGGAATTTGCAGATTTTCTGGAAGACAAAATCACTCAACTTCGTTCTCAGTTATGCTGCTGTCATGATTGCTAGTCCGGTGGAAGCCCCCAAGGCAGGTTCTTGCCCTGTTATTTGTGAACGGTTTGACTCTGTTGCTCCTGGGGAAGTGGACAGGATCCTAGGGAGTATGTGCATAAGCACCTGTGTTTTAGATATATGTCCCTCCTGGCTTGTGAAAGCTTCCCGGGAGGTGACAGGTGCATAGACTCTGGCGGTGATTGTTTTCCTACAGGAGGGGGTAGTGCCCCAGCATTTTAAGGCGGCTGTGGTCTGCCCTCTTCTTAAGAAGCCATCGCTGGATTCCAGTTTGTTGGATAATTTCCAACCTGTCTCCAATCTTCCCTTTCAGGGGAAGGCTGTTGAGAAGGTGGTTGTGTGGCAGCTCCAGAGTTTCTGGGTGAAACTGATTATCTAGACCTATACCAGTCATGATTCAGGCCTGGATATGGGAAACCGCATTGGTTGCACTTTTAGA